TTCTCATTTGTCTACTTAATTTTTTGTTAATTTCTTAGACACAATTTTTTTTTTCCTTTTTAGTCCCCTACTTCCAGTGATAATGTATAGGAAGAAGAGGAGGAAAAAGAAGAAAGAGAGGCGTATTGACACTTGAAGTACATTGAAACATGCTTTGTGAATAACTATGGTGTAAACCTGAGTCAGTAGGCGCTGGCCGTACACGTAGTTTTAGTCCAGCTAACACACATACATCCATACATCCTTTAATCTTATATGTGCTTACTACCTCGGGTCTTCATTTCATTTTATCTTTATTTCACAGCCTAACTGAAATTTCTTAATATTTGTCTCCACTCAAACCTTTGCTTTTACTCATACTAACAATCTTGTATATCTCTTTTCAAGTACCACTGAATGCACTTAACTGTTGAAAAGAATCCCCTACCCTCTTCTTTTCTTTATAAATTGTGCACCCCCCCCCCCACCCTCCCATTTTTGGTTATTTGCAAAAATTTTTCAAACACCCAGAAATATATGTTATTGCATTTGTATTGGTGGAAGTATGGGATAATGTACTAGCATTTTTCCCCATTTTTCCTTTCGTTATACCATAATTTTTTCTTCACTAGCTATTATTATCTGGCTTTTTTTCAAGCCTTAACTATGTTAAACCCTGCTTTGCACCATTTCTTTAATACCACACCAGGAGGCAGTATCACCTATCAGATCCCCTAGTTCAAAATTGATAATTATGTTAAAAAGTTTTGATTGATCTATTTACATTATACTAAGATAATGGAAAAATTACTTTTAATAGAATAGACCTTGTTAACTTCACAGTGAAAGTTTTTATTCATCCAGTTATATCATACTAAGATAATTAAAAAATATTTAATTCTGGATCTTGCATTCAAACGGTTAGACCTTATAACAACACTTTCTTCAGGTGAAATAATTTTGAGTTGCCATTGGTGTTAAGTGGGGAGCAGGCCTTGGGAGACAACTTATCCTAACCTTAAAGCCTACTATATATACTTGTTCATGAAGCATGTTTCTATTCAACATTGTAAATATGAATCACTTTTTTAAAGTGTTACAGTCCAAGACCCTTTTGCATGGTGAACTCTGAGCCAAGCTATTTAGTACTTTAATTATGTTTGATGCCACTTGAGCATTCTTTAGTGTAAGGAAACAGTATGTGACTATATATGTAACATGGTACAAATGTTTTGTATCTCAGCTTCATTGTAGTGCTTTTTCATTGAAGTGCATAATCAGATCCAAGACAGATCAAAATATCTTGAACAAATATTCAAATGTAAATATACATTCAGGAATCTATTACATATACGATATATTTGTGTTTTCACTCTTATGTACAGTAAAGTTCACATTTCCAAATCATTTTAATCCCATTTTCCTTCTTAATTGGGATACAAATCTTAACCTTTTAGACTACTATACTTGTTCATGAATTATGTTTGTATTCTACATTGTAAATATTTATCAATTTTTAAAAGTATTACAGTCCAAGACTCCTTGGCATAGTGAGCTCTGAGCCAAGCTATTTAATACTTTAATAATGTTTGATGCCACATGAGCATTCTTTAGTGTATGGTACGTGGCTATATATGTAACAGTAGTAATATGGTACAAATGTTTTGTATCTCAGCTTTACTGTAGTGCTTTTCAGCCGTAGGCATAATCAGATCAAAGGGGGCGTCTCGATAGTCCGAAGGTTCATTGGTCCGAAGGTTCATTGGTCCGAAAAGTGGTAACATTTTTATCGATTTTTTAATCAGGGGTTCATTGGTCCGAAGGTTCTATAGTGAACATTCGGACCAATGAACCTTCGGGCTATTGAACCTTCGGACTATCGCTACGGCCCCAGATCAAAGACGGGATCAAAATTTTGCGTACAAATATATATATAATAAATAAAGTAATCTATTACATATATGTGTGTGTTAATATGATTTTGTTTTCACTCTTATGTAATGATATAGCCATTGAATCTTGGGAACGCCACACCTGTTGGCGAGGTGAACAGTTCTGAATTTGTTTCCCATTTATCTTGCTAATAAGATTTGTCAATAAGAAATTAAATCTGTTTTTTTTTTTAATTTGTTGCATATTTCTGGCTGTTTGGTGTCTGTATTTACCAGTTTTGTTTACCAGTTCTGTGGTAGTCTCTGGAACTTGTAATTTTATGTAATAAAAACTGCAGAATAAAATGACGTGTCTTTTCATTTAAAATAGTGCTCAGTCCAATAGATTGCACATTCTGGGCATGAGAAATACATCAATTACATCTGGTTAAAAATAATTTTTAATGTCTGAAAATATAATTTAAATGGATAAGAATGATTAAGAAATACAAATTTTAATTTTGACAACAGAAAAGCAAGGAACAGAAAATATTGCAGGACCTCGCTAGGTAAAATGTTTTCCTAAAAGTCCACCAAATGATGTAATACTGCATGAAATTTTTGAAAATTATATGTTTGATATCTTCCAAACAGAAGCAACTACAGGGAAAGTTACTATAAAGGTACTTAAGGTCTGACCTATATATAGATACTAAGATACAGTATACTATGAGACTTAACAGATACGTACAACTATTTGAAATAACAGTCAACTATATAATAACCTTCAACTTAATGTAAAAAAAAATCAAAATGTCACTGACATTCAACACAAAAACCTGAATAAACTAACTCACAGTTTTAGTATAATATGTTGTTTTCTATGAGGCATATGAAAAACTGAAGAAATTGAAATTAACTGTTAAGTCACTCTGGAATTTGCAATCTGCTGTGATGAGTTGGGGACAGAAGTTTCAATACTTGTAAATCGTAAGGTGGTTACTGAATTTTTTTTTTGCATTTCCAAGATATGAAACGTTAATAATAAAACACTGAACGGGTTTCAAGTAGCACCCCAATTCATTGTATAACTACATACATGAGAGATGCTGCCATTAAGAAAGCATGTGATATATTTAAACCGACAGTGAGATATCAGTTCTGCTTGGCATGGCAATTAAACTGTTAATTAGGTTAGAAAGGATAAACATACCCCTGTAGCTGGAGAGATGCTGGTTGGAATCATAGAAAAATCAAGGAAATAAATTGCTGTGAAACATAAATGTTGAATATTTATCCTTTTCCAAAAATAATGCAGTGTATCCAGATAAAAAAAATGGGAGACATTACATCCCATTCACTGAAAAGAACCACAAGGATGCATCTATCTTGGACATTAATGAAAAATGCCATTAAATTCAGCACCAAGAGTTGTTTAACGCAGTTATGACTGCCATCTTTTAAATAACCTATCTGCACGCCACAATGCATGTGTATTTTGGTTTAACGATATGCATGTTTGTGCGCCTGTACAGAATCTTGAGAACCCTAACTACTCCAATACTTCCTTTGTTTTTCTGAAAGTTTGGAACAGACAGAATAACAGTAAAAACTTCATGTCCCAACAAAAAATTAAAGTCATCTTAAGAAATTGAGCTCCTGGTAAATGCTCCTCCAAACACATCAAGTTACATCTTTGGTATCTGATGCCATCTTGTCAAACATGCCCTTGTACACCTGTTTCATTTTCTGGTCCTGTTTTGCAATTTCTCTCTCACATAGCTGTAACTGATGCCTGATTTTTGTATCTGAAAAATATTAAGCATGGCACATTAACCCCAGGCTGACTGGAATCCAAATTTTGATCTAGAAAATTTGGACACATTGTTACCATTAATCTGACTTGAATGCTACAAACATAAATAGTTTGAAAAGGCTGCAGTTGAGGTAAACCACTTTACTTACATATTATCAAACACAAACCAAAAAACTTTCATACCTTTAGCTTACGCCCAACCTAAACATAGACCTTCATCAGATTGATGTCAGCAGATGTTGACACCTACTGATCACTAGGTGGTATATACGTCCAGGTTGGCCGTAAGCTAAGGGTATGAAAGTATTTCGGCAGGTGTTTGATGATTTTCATTTATGACCCAACTACCAAGCTGATGAACATTTTTGCCCACTTAACTTACTATTACTATTATTACAATTATTTCTATAAGTTCTTTTACCATCATTATCACTAATATGGAAGCATTATGACTTAAATCTTTTGCCAATAACAGAACAGGCAGAGTTTTAATATGAATTCTACAATCTACAATCTAATTTGTTTTTATACATCAGAATTTTTCAATCTCAAATTTAGTAATCAAATAAATGGTGAAACTGGAAATGATTAAACAACATTTAACATGTTTCTGAAAAATAAATAAATGAATGGATAAATTAATTAATTAATAAACTTAAAACAAAACATTTGAGATAAATGAGTATATGTAGTATGTGATGGTATTGTAGATATCTGGTGAACTATTCCAACCTGTGTCTCCTCCTGGCAAAGAACAAGCTCTGGAGAGCACCTGCATGGCACTGTCAAAGTTCTTCAGATGAAAGTAGGCAGTGCCTTGTCTGTACAGAGCCTTCACATTGTGTGGACTGGACTCTAGAACACTACCGCAATATTCCACAACTTTCTGAAAGTTTGGCTCAGGTTGCAGAAGAAGACAGGCTGGAAAAGGGTATTTTATTTATCATATATATTAAGCAACTGTGGTTCAATATTTTGATTCCATATAAAAATTCTACTGTTGTTTCTGAAAATGTTAATTACACACACACACACATACACACACACACACACACACACACAATACAGTGGAAATAATATCTTAATGCAGATCATGTGCCAAAATACATGTAGCTATATCTGCCAAAATAAGTGCTGTATGGTGATTAACAATAACAAGAATGAAAAGCAAATTTAGACTTTGTTCAGCAAAAGCTCTGTTTCAAAACATATAAATAAATCTAGATAAAGTCTTAATGGGGTTGTAAAAAATGAGGGGTGTTATGACAATGGTTTACATATCTTACCAGTACACTCACAGTCATACTGTACTGTACAAGCAATGGTGTTTCTCATAATTTTATTAAAATTTCAAGTATTCATTTCAGTGTCATTTTATTTGGCAGTTATCAGTACAATACACATCTGAAATATACTGAGTATCCACTATTATTCTGACAGGATGTTTTGGCGGGACACATATAATTGAACTGAAATTGGTGTGATTGCTTGAGAGAGAGAGAGAGAGAGAGACCTACCGGCCAAATTATTGTAACAATCACTTTTCAGCTTCGTCACTTCTTCCTGTACCTCTGGAGGTAAAATAGGTTCTTGCTCTCCCATTAGCTGCGAAAATGGATTACTTGCCCCAACACCTTTCAGATACAGCAACGCTTTGTGATAATTACGAATGGCGTTTTTGTAATTTTTCTTCTTGTACTGTTCATTGCCTTCATTTTTGAATGACTTTGCTTGATTCAGTTTATCAGCTGTATCGTTCTGATCTTCTACTTTTGCAGACGCCATCATCAAGAAATTTTCTTCTGTGCAAACAATAAAAAACTAATAATATAAATGAAATATAGTCATGTTTCCATAAAACATGGGGGCTGCCATATTTTTGGTCACATGACAAGCATGTGACTTGATTGACGCACACCTGGCGCAATCAACACAGTAACGACAATAAGTATTTTCCAATGCATGTCATTGTTTCTGACATTTCATGAGTTACAGACGCATGCTAAGGACACAAAAATCTTCTGGGAGTGTATGTCAGTGGTCTTTTGTGAAAAAGAAAAGGCGTTTATCTAGGACCATTAAACTAATTCCTAAACTATTTTAAAGTAAGTAAATATATGGTGGTAAGGAATATAAGAATACAATTGCCCAGGGCTTTCATATTTTATCGTATATGTATGGATTTGTCAGAGTAGTTTTTAGAATGTAACTATTCATTTTAAAGTTAGATATGACAGATATTGCATTTTTATTTATTCGTTTATTTTGACGCTACTAAATTTTTCGTTATCGGTAACGTTCTGGTTTCTTCAGTCACGTGCTGAGATTATGTACAGTGCTCAGTGATGCTGACAGGGAATTTTGATGACACTAAGTTTGGGGTCTTTCAGCCAAGGAAGATCTTACTCCTTGATATATGATCCACGTAATTTGCCTTTTTTTTTTACTTAAAGTGCCACTCCATGGGAATTTCCCACCAAAATGAACTTCTTCCCCCCCCCCCCCC